CGAAAATCATCAGCAGCATGTGTGTTCTCCACCTAAATTCTCGCTTATTGGGTAGCTCCGTCAATCTCATTTGGTGTTCTCCTCCATCCGTTTGCCCGTTACCCTCTCAAAATACCGCTATTCACGTGCCTCAAGTCTGGGTGAATGTGGCACCCTAGAAACCAACCGCCCACATTCAACCGCTATCCTCGTACCAAAGAGAACGGAAACTCTCCAGGGGCTGAGAGATGCGAAGGGGTAGCAAGAGTCGGATATCTAATTAGCGAGGGCTGATCGGTAATTACTACGATTAATCAATCCGTTTTCCATTTGTGCTCCGGGGCCTTGGGGGAGCAAACTTCGGGAGTTTTGGGGTAAACCCGGCGAAGAGTGGAGTGCAGAAACAATAAGCTGTCAATTTTACGGGAAAAAAACTAGAGCTTTTAGGATGTTTTAATTTGAGATAAGACATCAACTCCGTTAAGACGGGGAATCGCGAGGATTTTGAAGAAATTAATGAAGCATCATAAATTTGGAGAAAGGAAAAACCGAAAACTCCCTAGAGAACTAGTTGATTGGGTCGATGGGGCCAGAGCAAGTCACTACCATCCGAATAAATCATTGTATAGAATAAATATTTTAAGTAGCCCAGAATGCAGTTGTGGAGATAACTCTGAGACACAAGATATAGATCACATCATCTACTTCAAGGGAAGAGAAAAAATGATAAATCAATTAATTCAACTTCAAAGAACTTGACAGCCTTAGAAATAATCCACCACGGAAAAAAAAATTGAATTGAGTATAAAATATACTTGATTCAAGTATATTATTCTTGATTTATCTATATTTTATAGTCAATTCAAGTAGGAGAGGGTGGGGCAAAACGGCCCCCCTTCAATTGTCAATAACTTGTGAATGACATTGTGAAAATTCCCAGTTTTACCTTCATTTTGAAGATAATTTTTCATTCTTCAAAACGAGCTCTAACACATCCCAATCGGATTATTGAATCGGAAAATATTGACGATTGAAGGGGGGCCGTTTTGCCCCATCCTCCCCTAAATTTTTTTTTCCGTGATCAGTTTGTCAAAAGTAATGAAATTGAAATAAAAAAAAAATGTGCACAGTTTATTAAATAACCTGTTAACGGCTGGCACATATTAACAAAAAAAAATCCTCCTGTAAGACACCTATAATGGCCGGAATGCACGTCTCAAAGCCGTAATTTAATTCCAACTATGCAACAGCAATTCACGATAAATTTGAACATTGTCGTGAGGTCAATTAATCCACCATTTAATATGTTCCGCGTTGGTGGATATATTTTTCATCCCCCAAATGATGTAAACGTATAAACAACCTCGGCACCTGGCAATGCAGGCACATTACCCCCGGTGCCAAAACTATCGCAAAATATAGTGCCTACGTTGGACCAATAAATAACTCCTAGTTTATTAGTCCGGCACTCCGGTCCCGTCAACACAGAGGCTGAGGGAGAATGGGAAAGAGGCCACTGAGAAGATGAGACGATGCTTGCGCGTCTGAATTAGCGAGAATATTAGTACAAATTTGCTGCGTCTCGGCTCCATGATTCTGAGACAAGACAGTGAATGTCTGCTGAGTCGAGGAAACATTGGAGATGATACGAATCGCTTGGGGCGATCACTCTCCTCGGTCTTTTATCTTGACGATCGGGATCTGTCTTTGTTCACTAATATTCTCATCGTTCGATGGAAATTGGTGTGAACTTTGTTAAAAGACTTTATGTCCGAAGACTTTATGTCAGGTTTCTCATCATTTGAATAAAAAATAGTAATGAGCGGATGGAATATTTTTAATACTGCTTATTAATTGGGGTTTCCCGAGAAAAACCGAGGTAATGTACAGTGGTAATGGACATGTGGGGCAACAAGCTGGCAGCGTTTCTAACTACCGTCCAGGTTGATATATGTGACGGAAAATTGTGGACGAAAAACGTAGAGTACTTGGAGTGGGCCAAGAAGGATGTAGGTTTGATATATCTCCCTGTTTCAACCCCATCCACTCGGCAATTATTTTATTTACGAATTATTTCATTTGCCCCTCGAGGTATTCTAATTAGCGGACTAGCTATTTCTAAGCATTAACCATTTCCAGAATTTTCCCGAGCTCTCTCTCTCTCTCTCTCGTGCCTCTCACCCACTCACTCAGTTCTGGCTGCTGCTGGAAGGGGGCGCCAACGGCCACATGGTCTAATTACATTACGGAAACATGAGTTTCACGGGGTGAAATATTTCACAAGTCTCCGTGCAAGAAGGAAAATTCAGCGTTTGCTTGTGCCACATGCTTACGACAATAATGCAGAAGTAGTCCTGCATCAGTCGCTGTTCGTTATTTTTCCTTGTGATGTCTGCTAACTTGTCGCGAATAATTAAATCATTTACAATGGAATGAGTGGAAAAGGAGTAAATGAAGTTATTTTGTGCAATTAAGATCACACGTGAGGGCAATTACCAGCATGATAGCTTGAAGAATGCATTGCAGAAACGCTTGCTCGGGGAAGAGTATCTCCGCAAATCCCATTGGGATGTTTAACTCGACGCGTAGGTCTCTTCTTAAACTCGATTTGTGCTCAATTACCAACAGCATCACAAACTCCTCTCGATCTTTTCTCATTTTGTCTTGGCCTCCCTAGAGTTGGGGAGTCGGCTCTCTGATGTGGCGGCACCATTTGGCTTTGCATTGATTGTTTTATCATAACGTTGTCTGATAGCCAAAAAAATTCTTCATTTTAGGATGTCAAGGGTCTCAAAATGACTCACTTTGAGATCATAAGTCTTAAGGAAAATCTTTTTTTAGGTGAAGAATATGATTTGAAAAAATGATACCTTATTTCAAGATTTTAAAGGTCTCAAAATGAAGTTTTTTAAAGTCTTAATTTGGAGTTTGAAAGTTTTGAGAGAAAGTCTCAATTTAAGACTTCTCAATTTGCGATCATATGTCTCAAAATAAAACTCGTTTTTTTCATCGAAGAAAAAAGAAAAAAATGAAACTTTATTTTAGGATTTCAAGTCTTAAAATAATATTTTTAAATGTGTCAATTTGGAGCCTGAAGACTTTGAGATCACTTTGAGATCATAAGTCTCAAAAAAAATAGCTGAAGAATATGGTAAAAAAAAACCTCATTTTAAAATTTCACAGGTCTTGAAATTAACTTTTCAAAATCTTAATTTGAGATAGGATGTCAAGGGTCTCAAAATGACTCACTTTGAGATCATAAGTCTTAAGGAAAATCTTTTTTTATGTGAAGAATATGATTTGAAAAAATGATACCTTATTTCAAGATTTTAAATGTCTCAAAATGAAGTTTTTTAAAGTCTTAATTTGGAGTTTGAAAGCTTTGAGAGAAAGTCTCAATTTAAGACTTCTCAATTTGCGATCATATGTCTCAAAACAAAACTCGTTTTTTTCATCGAAGAAAAAAGAAAAAAAAAACTTTATTTTAGAATTTCAAGTCTTAAAATAATATTATTAAATGTGTCAATTTGGAGCCTGAAGACTTTGAGATCACTTTGAGATCATAAGTCTCAAAAAAAATTGCTGAAGAATATAGTAAAAAAAAAAAACCTCATTTTAAAATTTCACAGGTCTTGAAATTGACTTTTCAAAATCTTAACTTGAGATAACTGAAAAAGTCTTAATTTGAGACTTGGATATTTCAATTGAAGACAAAAAATTCTCCACTTGCGATCATACCTCTCCAAATAACCCTCCTTGTTTCCTCAAAGAATACAATTAAAGAAATCCGAAAGATATTTATAACTGCGTTCAAGCCACCCGGAGCATCCCTCCCCCAAATTCTCCTCAAACTCTTTTTGCCTCGTCTCCACTCCTCCATTGCCGGTCCATCCGCTCGCCCCATATCAGCGTGAAATCTAAAGCCAACCGCCGCACCACCCCCCACCGTCCCAACTTCTCCACAAGCTATCAAATGAAAAATTTCCAAAAATTTCTGAAGAACAATTCCAGCGACACGAGGTTATCTCCGCTGAATTTAATTCCGAGTGATGAACAGGCGCCGGAAAAGCATGAGGCTGTAATTTCCATGTTGGCGCAGGTGCCATACCGAAAACATCCATCAGGCAGGAGTGTGATAACAAAAGCCCGAGAACGGGATCAGGGGAACTAAGACCACTCCATACATCTCCGGTTCTCTCATCGTCGCTGAAAAGAAGCGGCTCTCCGAAGGGCGAATGGAGTGAGTTAAGACGAGACCCTGTTCCAAACCCTTTTACCCCTGTACACCAAAACGCTTAAGCCCCCCTGGGATTAGCGACACGCGTTTCCGAGGCCAGCAGAGTTGAGGATTTTATTTCAGAATTTTTCCCCAGTTATTTTCAGAATCCGCAGAGACCACCAAGAAAGAGGATATTTTTTCCCCCCGGAAAATTTATATCCCCGTTTCTCACAGCATGAAATGTTGGATTTCCAGTGCTGTTAAAATAAGTTGATTTTAATCTCAAGAATTTGACGGTGAATATCACTTATTATGGTATTTTCATGGTTGAAATGCCGTTGAGTATCGTCTACCAGAGGTATCTAAGGAACTCGCGGTGCGATCATCTCTACTCGTTACAGATACGTTAAATCGTAAAGTTAGCAACATAATAGCAGATACCGATGTACCGGTGGGTTTTTGCAAGTTGTGTGTTGTACAGCGCGAGACACTGAAAACACTTGAGAAAACCTCTCGGTGAGATTAGCTGAAGGCATAAAGTGCACCGGTAATGTTTACACGTCTGCTATCTGAAAGTGGCTCCGCCGACTTTGGTGTTCGGAGACCCGCACACGTGGTGTAATTAATTGGCGGAGAGATCGCGTTGAGATTTCCCTCTCATAAATACGTTTTTTTTAGAGGACCTTTGGGATTATATCTGAGCTGAATGAATCGCGGGGACTCGGGAGGGGGTTATGTATTAACGGCTTGTTTATCAAGCTGAGATCGTAGAGTAATGGAATTGTTGAGCGGTGTAACTCACCAGTTGTTGACTTGAAGAATCGTCAGCCCCGTGTCCTGTGCCAACTGCTTCTTCTGGTCTTCCGAGGGGTAGGGATGCTGCAAAGGTAAAGCAATCATTTTATTAATGACGATCACTGTGAAAGCTGTAGTCTTAGGTTGAGAGACTCAATGCGACGCCACGAGGACAAAAGTGAAAAACAGAGCGAGCGGAGAGATGAAAAAAAAAGGGAATAAGGACGGAATGAGACTCCGTATTTCACTCTGGTGGCGTGGAACGCCACACGCTCCGACACGGCTACAGGTACACGTTTAGAAAAGAAGGGTGTATAGCTCGTGCTATCCTCGCTGGTTACAAGCACCGCTGTATCCCCAGAGTGCACCTGCGAAATATTATTTATCGCCCAGAGGCTGGAGAGGGACGCGGAAAAGAGTGCAGCTATCGTCCGCTGTGCGGAGAGACGCCGGAGAAAAAAAAAACGAAGCAAGAGGGGTTTAAAATATATATATAAAAACGCGTCAGTTCGCTGGATAGTCAGGCTTTTATCACTGCGCTACATCGGCGCAGATGCGCTGCGGTTGTCTCGATGCTCCTTACGCAAGAGTTGTCGTCCTGATCCTGCGTTCCGCATGAAATTGAGTACTGGGGTCGACGATAAACATCAGGCGATGTGGAGTCTTGATGCACTGGGTCGATACGAGAAATATAGGCAGAATCCTTCGTCGGTATTTGGGGACGAGAAATATCGCGGGGTTAGTGTCATTCAAACGTTCCGCGTTGCGGAATTTTCCCTCCGGAGACGCACGTTTTTGACGGATTGGAAGGATAAGAATAAAATTGAATGTTTTTTAATCTGATTCAGAGAAAATCTACTTCGAAAATTGAAAATTAATCTGTCGTGGTGCGTTTTTTCGGCAGTGCGGTTCGTCCGGACGAACGCATCGACGTTTCTTGAAAATCCGCCCTCAGTGTCGCCAGCCGCACGTCCGTCCAATCGATTCGACGTGGCAAAAAGGCGAAAGCGAATAAAATTGACTCTTTTTGAAGAGGACTCCGAGAAGATTCACGTCTTGTCGACAAAGGGATGAGGGCATTGCGATTTGTCCGGACACATCGACACTTAATGAAAATTCGCCCTAACGCTCACCATCCGCTCATCCGTCCCATCGATTCACCCCGGCCGAGAGGATACACCGAAAAAATATAAAGCATCGTCGCCACATAAAAGCGTTGACCACCGCGTCCAGAGCACCGCATCATATTTTTACATAATTAGCACGTGGCGCTCTCACCAGTATTACTCCCCCTCCCCTCCGCCGGCTCTCATTCCCTGTTGTGTGGCGTGCGACGCGCAACTTTTTGCCACGGTCGCGCGGACCCTGTGGTATTTTTGGAAACCACGGTAGCAGCCGCAGCCCGCAAACCCCTAGCACCCGGTATATCATGTTTCTTGGAGGCAAGCCCACGCTAGTCACCACCACTGCGCGTTAGCACAAAGCCCAGATCTCCTCTCCCTTTCCTCTATTTACAGTGTATACAACACTCGGTATCAAACACTCGGTGGGAGGAGGGGGAGGGGGGGCTCTCTCCCTCGCCACCCTCCATCTCCCTTTCACGGGGGTATTGTATTATGCAACGAAAAGCGATCCGATGATTCTTATCCTAATTAAATCAGAGGTGCATTGTCCGTTGGACAATTTCACGGCGTTCTGACTCCAACGGTTAATCATCTTTTGTTGGTTTTGTGTTTTTAAGGAAAAAATGGGGGGAATTTTAATGGGGAAGGAGCGAGGGAGTGCCCCGAACATCTTCTCAATGAGTCAGTAGTCCTGATCTGCGAGTAATCGAACGTTTCTCGACTAGTGATGCCGCGAGACGGGACGAGAAGATATGGTTTCTCGTCTCGTATCGTTTCTGTCATTGTCTCGAATGACTCTTCTCATCTCATCTCGTTTGTCTCGTCAGGTCTCGTCATTGTCTCATATGACTCTTCTCATCTCGACTCGTTTGTCTCATCTCGTCTCGTTTGTCTCTTCTCGTCTCGTCAGGTCTCTTGTCTCGTTTATCTCATTTCGTCTCATTACCCTCGCGTCTCGCGACGAGAAGATGTGGTTTCTCGTCTCGTATCGTTTCTGTCATTGTCTCGAATGAATCTTCTCATCTCATCTCGTTTGTCTCGTCAGGTCTCGTCATTGTCTCATATGACTCTTCTCATCTCGACTCGTTTGTCTCATCTCGTCTCGTTTGTCTCTTCTCGTCTCGTCAGGTCTCTTGTCTCGTTTGTCTCGTTTCGTCTCATTTCTCTCGCGTTTCGCGGCATCACTATTCTCGACTGCAGCAGAAAATTAATCACGCAAATTGATATCAATAACCCACGTCCCGCGGCTCAACATCTCCATTATCAATATTCCTAATGGTAACATGTGAGTGGGTCAAGGATCGTATACCTGTCATATCTCGCCGTCTCCTGTAGGTTTTACCAGGCAAAGTCGACAGCAGTAAATAACACGCAGGTGCGGCAAACTCGGAAACTCGACGGAAGTAACGACAACGGTGCGCAACCGTTTGGTTGAGTCCAACGGAGAGGAGTTAGCCCGAGCTGAGGCCACAAAGAGAGAGAAATAACCGGAGAAAAAGAAGTGGCCGAGTGAGATGGAAAATTGGAGATGGTGTTTCTAGCTGGGTAACCCCCGAGGGACGGCATCTACGGGTGTTCTGTTGGTGTATGCATAAAACAATCAAGATAATTGTCGATGCTTTTCTCTTTCACTCTCTTCTCGGGGATTGAGGGAAGGTCCCCAGCCGTGGGGATCGCACGGCAAGGGCCAGTGGACGAGGGGATGAAAGAGCCGGGGGAAGAGAGAGAAGCTATCCAATTACATTGAAAACAATAGTCTTAAGTGCTGCCGGCAGTCGCCCCCCCTTCGTGTTCCTCCACCTGCGAACGCTTTTCAAATCGTTCCAACCTTCGTCGATATGCGATCCACCCGCGCAGGACCCCTCACTAATCGATTAGAGGAACGGACCTCCGAAATGTTGAATGGGTTGAATGTTGAACGACAGAATGGAGGTAAAACTGCTGAGGGATTCAGTGATTCCCCCCTCGGTGTGGAGGGCGGACGAGTGAAATTAACCCATTTGGAATGGTGAGGGGTTAGAGACTCGGCGGAGGCCAGTTGAGTGGGAGGGGCCCTTCCAAACAAGCGATAAAAGGAAAATGAGCGGTAAAAAGACAATATGAAAGTCATTTGCTGAGGGCTAGAGCCTGGTTTTTCCCTAGGTGTGGGGTAGCTTGGCGAGAGGTGAGGAGAACGAGACCGGAGATGGCAACGGGATCCAAGTGTGTAAATGAGTCTCGTTGTTTAGGCCGATTGCCTCACAGACGACTGCCGATAAACACCCTCGGGCGTTATTTCGTGAACGCTAACCACCTCTTTTCAACGGAGCCTCGAGACCATCTGAAAGCTCGCCCTGGATAATCTCCGGATAATGTCGACTCAACGGGCGTAAAAAAATTGATGATGAATTGCGGGATGATCCGGTCTATTTAGTGACACCGCGAGACACTACGAGACGTCACGAGACAAAGCTTTTCAGAGATGATCTCGGTCTCAATGGCATGCTCATCTCGATTTGTCTCGTCGATGATGAATTGCGGGATGATCCGGTCCATTTAGTGACGCCGCGAGACACTACGAGACTTCACGAGACAAAGCTTTTGAGAGATGATCTCGGTCTCAATGGCATGCTCATCTCGATTTGTCTCGTCGATGATGAATTGCGGGATGATCCGGTCCATTTAGTGACGCCGCGAGACACTACGAGACTTCACGAGACAAAGCTTTTGAGAGATGATCTCGGTCTCAATGGCATGCTCATCTCGATTTGTCTCGTCGATGATGAATTGCGGGATGATCCGGTCCATTTAGTGACGCCGCGAGACACTACGAGACGTCACGAGACAAAGCGTTTAAGAGATGATCTCGGTCTCAATGGCATGCTCATCTCGGTTTGTCTCGTCTCGTTTTTCTGCATATAAAAACGCGAAAAAAAGGAAACCGAGATGAGCTCAATTGTCTCGGAGTCATCACGAGAGGAGTCTATACTGCATATTTCGAGACTGAGACGAGAGCAAAGATTCTCATGTTCATTGAGACTGCAATCATCTCTCCAAAGTTTTGTCTCGTGATGTCTCGTGAAATGTCTCACGGCATCACCAACTCCATTGTTATTTGTCCTCCACCCTCGAACTGAATCCCGCAGTAATGTCTCTCGGCGATCATTGACATCAATTTGCCCGGGAAAAATTGACTGCTGCGTCAGGCGGCTGTCTGTCACGGTGGCCGGATGGATTATAATGATAGGACGAGTGAAACATTTCCAGAAGACACTGTTACCAGGACGTGAGCTGGAGAGGGGTCCCGGCCAGTGATAGAGGGAGAGCAACGCTAGAGAACTCATGCGGCGCTGAATGACACGTCGATGACGACGTCTGCTGACTCCGGCTAACGAGTGGGGCGTGGGAGCCACCGGAGATCGCGCCTCGTCATCACGCGGCATCGCAAACGAGAGGAGCAGAACTACAAAGGGGGATGGCCGGGGGGTGGGGCGGGGGTGCTGGAGACCAGGATATGATGCGAATAGTGGGGCAGACGTACAGGAGAAGTGGAGGCGACGTTAAATACAGAGGATAGAGGCAGTTTGGAGTGTACGGGAGGGTGGGAGGGGGCGGGGGGGTTTGTCCCAACGAACGGATCTCGACGGGATTACCTTGGTCGAGCGATTTGACGGAAGAGAGCTCGTGAGGTACAGACGAAGGGCATCGAGGAAGTGGGTTTTGATGGTGTTGGAGGGATGTCAGCGCGTCACTCACCCCTAATGCCTTCATTCCGTCTGTCCTTCTGGTCCTCTTCATCGCGGCTGTGGAGGATCTGGCGGAGATGGCGTATCAGGGGAGGGGGGAGTGGGATGCTCACGGGTGCCTGTGGGCTCGTTACTTTCCCGGTTCATTCAATTTGCGGCGGTAAAATTCGCTAATGCGGTGGAGATAATGGATCCTGTCGTCTTCAATCAATCATCGATGTCTGATATTTAGAGT